AAAGGTATTTGAATATATGTTTAAATAAGTATTTTACTTAAGATTTGATTTGTGTTTATGGATTTAATTACTAGTTTAATTTAGATTCTTGATTTTGATTTATTCGTATAAATTTAGTAAGCATTTAAATTAAAATTTTTAATATATGAATTTGTATTTGAGTTTAAATTGTTAGTATGAGATTGGATATTGAATTGCATTATCAAATTTGATTTTGAGCATAAATTGTATTTGATATGTTAGATTTGAATGTTTTTGGAACATGTATAAGTCTATGTGATTTTTTATTTGATTGGTTATCTTAGGGCACCTAGCTATGGAGGACGTATCCTATAAACTCACCGATACGAAAATGCTTCGACTAGTAGAAAAGGTGTAGTGCTAGCTCGACCACGAGGTATGTGGCCTCCGGGTGATTGAATCTAATGATATGTTATGTTTAGTTTATTCCAAGTGTAAATTTAGATACTTGACTTGATTTTATTCTTCTATATTTAGATTTGATGTTTGATATGATTTGGATTTAAAGTATTTAAGTTATGATGTATGATTGGATATTTATAATATGTATTTGACTTTGAGAAATAAGCATTGTATCTTGAGAAGGTTTTAAATTATCATCCTTAGTCCGTTTCCTTTACGTAGATGTGTTATATAATATCTACTCACTAATTTATTGATTTACTCACATCTCACTATTTTAGTTTTACGGGGTTTGTGAGTTTGCCATTTTACTTTTATAAAGTTGTTTATCTTGAAACTAACATATTGATCATATGGCTCGTTTTATTTGTAATCTTTTGAAACTTGTATTTTGATATTTAATACATTCTAGAGCTCTTCAATTACACTTGTGTGAATTGTGTTAGGTTGATATTTATCATATTTGATATACTTAAGTATTGTGAATTGGATGTGATGTTGCAAATTAGAAATGAAATTCAATGTCCTATAGATTTGAGAATCATAGTTTAGATATTTGAGGTTTTCTTGAATCGAAATGGGTCCCACTGCTCTTTCGATTCTCACATCGGTCATGACCTATTTCGGAGATCATGACAAATTAAGTTTTATTTCTTAATAAAAATCTTAAAGTCATGTTCTTAATACTAATTTTAGTTTAAACAATATAACAATAGATTATCAAACAGTTGAGTGATTTTAACATGTCATTTTTTATTATCAAATAATTTAATGTGTTTAGTCTTATAGTGCAACTATATATGACAATGGGATAGATACAAAGCATGTATTTGTTATATCACATCTAATAAATGACCATTAAAAATACTTAATGAACATTGAGATGGATAAGAATAAAAAGAAAAATTATACTCATTAATTTAGCTTTTGGGTATGAATACCAACTTTATACCCTATCGATACTCTTTAATTTTTTTTATTGAAAAAAATTTAACATGCAAATACTTGATCGCACAAACTTTGTTAATTAGGGACCAAAATATTTCATCAAAAATTTAAAGAACCAAAAAACTTAAAAATAAAGAACCAAATAGTAAAAAGAATATTAACTTTAAAGATCAAAATATTTTTTTAAAAAAATTACTAAAGAAACTAAAGTAAAACCATTTTTTACTATTTATGTCACCGTTTGAAACGTTATTCACACACTCACAAATCACTATTCACACACTCACAAATCACTATTCACACACTCATAAATTACTATTCCTTTCACTATTTATGTCACTTTGGTCCTTAATTTTTTTATACTTTTTTTTTCAATTTCAAACTTTAATTGTATTGTGATTTGGTCCCATTTTGTTTTAGTGTTTTTTTAATTATTTTAATTATTTAAAATTTACTATTTTAATTTGTCTTTTTTAAAAAAAATAATAAATTCTCTTTTCTTTTTCAATTCCAAACTTTGATTATATTGTGATTTGATCCTATTTTGTTTTAGTGTTTTTTGTTAATTATTTTTATTATTTAAAATTTACTACGTTAATTTGTCTTTTTTTTTAAATTCTCATCCAATTAATTTAAAATTATATTTAATGATAGTTTTGATTTATTTTTCTATATTTATGGATTTTGAAATAAATTTTTAGAATATGATTATTTTTTCTTTTGAAAAATAGATTTAGATAATTTTTAAATTATAATGACATGATTAATATATAATTTTTTTGAAATACATTTTTAAATTAAAAATATATTTTAAATAATGTTTTCTCGATTTTTTTGATATTATTTAAAGTTTACTACGTTAAGTTGTCATTTTTTTTTAATTTCAAACTTTAATTATATTGTGATTTGATCCATTTTGTTTTATTTTTTTAATTATTTTTATTATTAAAAATTTACTACTTTGATTTGTCATTTTTTTAAAATTCTCATTCAATTAATTTAAAATTATATATATTGACGAGTTTTGATTTATCTTTTTATACGTATGGATTTTGGAATAAATTCTTAGAACATGATTTTTTTTTTCTTTTGAAATATAGATTTAGATCATTTTTAAATTATAATAGCATGATATATATATATATATAATTTTTCTGAAATGCATTTTCAGATTAAAAGTGTATTTCAAAAAACAAATTTCTCGACTTTTTATATTATTTAAAATTTCCTACATTAATTTTTCATTTAAAAAAGAATCTTTTTCTTTTTTAATTTCAAAGTTTGATTATATTGTGATTTGGTATCATTTTGTTTTAGTGTTTTTTGAATTATTTTTATTATTTGAAATACTACTTTAATTTGTCATTTTTTTTAAATTCTCATCCAATTAATTTAAAATTATATTTGTTGATAGTTTTGATTTATTTTTCTATATGTTTGGATTTTAGAATAAATTTTTCGAATATGATTACTTTTTCTTCGAAGAATAGATTTAGATAACTTTTAAATTATAATAGCATGATTAATATATATAATTGGTCTAAAATACATTTTTATATTAAAATTGTATTTTGGTTTTTTTAAGAAAAAACTCAAATTAATTAATTAATAGTTGAAAGTAAAATGTGAAAAATAAAAAGAAGATGGTTGGTCCGCGCGTAAGGCTTGTATTCAAGGACTAGCCATACATAGCATAGAAATAAAAAATATATTTAATAAGGAGGAAAAAAAAAAGGAATTCACATGTTTTATTAATTTTTTTCTTTTTTATATAATCAAAATTAATCGAAATCAAATTTGTAATAATTTTTATTTTAGTCTACTAACTTCAAATTTAATCAATAGATTCCTTGCAAATTAACTTTTTTTTATATAATATTTTTTGTTTTAGATTGAAAACTCCAAACTCACTTAGTATATTTATGGTGCATAAAAAAAATATTGAATTGTTTTTTTTAAGAAATTAACTCTACAACTACTACTACACTAAGCATTTACTATTTATTTATTTATTTGTGAATATTTTAAAAGTAACTTATTTTAAACTAAATAATTAAAATTATGTTTTGGCTTAATCAATCAATGATTCAAATTAATATAGTTTTTTATTTTAATATTATTCATTCTTTTTTAAATAAATATATAAAAATTAAATTCATATTTTTTCAAAAATCGATATTTTCATCAACATTAAATAAAAAAATTATTTGTTCAATTCTATGTAAGATTTTAATAATTTTTATTTATGTTTTTGGACACAATCTTATAAAATACTAAAGGTTTTTTTTTAAAAAAAAAACTATTTAATTTTCTTTTTAGTTAATAATCCATAGATCAATAAAGATAAATCTTTTTCTAAAGGAAAAATTATGAAAAACACAGATAAGAAATAGTTAAATACAAAATTTTTTATTAAAAAATTATAATAAATTTTTTTTAGTTTTGATTTCATATATTTTTATAGATTCACACCACAAAACAGATTATCAAATTGAAATAATTTTTGTAAACGATTTTGTATATTTTATCCAACCCGCAACGATAAGCGCAGTAAAAAAAACTAGTTACAACTAAAATAAAATATTTGACATATTATTTTTAACTGATATAAATAAATGAATAAATTAAATATGAATGAGTTATTAGTTTAGAAGATAATTTCTTAATAAATATAGTTATAATATTTTTTAATAAATAAGATAAAAAATTAAATTAATAAGTGGCTTACCGGATTCATTTACTTTCCCTAAGCAAGGGAATTCATAAGCTAATTATGACACATGATAGCGATATTAAAAAACGAATGGGTCGACCTTAATTAATCATCGCCGGCAGTCACTCCTGCAATTCTTTTCGAAAAAAAGAAGACATCTTAAAAAGACAAGCCAATAAAAATGTGTAGCTTTGTAGAAAAGATGCGAGTCAACGAGAGGGGCACAATGGTCATTTGATATGCTTCTTCAATCAGACTTCAGCGCTGGTGATTGCCTACCTACCAGACCTCTCCCCTAAGTAATTCCGTTTTCTGTCTTTTTATTTTTTACTTTTAAATCCAGCAACTGTATAAAGAAAAAAATCACAAGGACATAGGAAGAGTCAATTGTGTCAGCTTCGAGAGCCGATTAATGGAAAATACCAACAAGACCCTTTACTTGTCATCTAAAACACTTCTCCTAAGAGTAGATATCCTCTTTTTTGGTGTCTCCTCCTCAAAATTTTTGATCTAAAACCTAAATCAATCACAAATTATTTCCTGCTTTATTTTCACAGACAGGCAATTACCCACTCTCCTTTCTGATTTTTCTTTCTTTCTTTCTTTCTTTGGTTTGATTGATGGAATTATATGTATGTTGTTTCATCTTGCTTTGTTTTTATTTCTGAAGCAGGTCAGTACGTATTAATTGCAGAAATTCAACCTCTTCCAATACGCTCACATGAATCCAAGTACTGTGCACTTTTTCTTTATTACTTGTTTTTGTTAATTTTTCAGACCGTTAATTTACTAGGACGAGGGGCAAAAATAATAAATAAATAAATAAAATTCCATTTGGAATTAGTCTTCTGCTGTTTTTACCACTATGCCATAATTGGGTTGCTTATGTAAGCCAGTATGAAAGAAGAAATTTAGAATGATCCGATTGTGGTGATGGATGTTATTATATTCCTCATCAATGTAGGAAAAAACTTTAGGTATAGGAGTGTCAATGATGTTGTGATGAAAGGATGTTTATCATATGATCTCATAATATGTGTGTGTGTGTGTGTTAAGGTTTGTAGGAATGTTATGCTTCATCTGCTTGGACTTTGTTTTGATTATGTAAGTTTTCTTGGCGCTGCAGATGCCGTCATGGAGGAGAGAGAGGGTTTCGGTAATGGCGTTGAGTTGGTGAAATCTGTCTCTGAGAAGCACATTGATCTCCTCAGGCCGTCTGCTCGATACTATACAGCATCAAAGGGTACTGTTCTTATTCAGACTTGACTTTTGTTCCTTAAGTTTTTCTTCTTCTTAACCCCAACACCACCCCCCCCCCCCCCCCCCCCGCCCCCCTTTCAACATTTTTTTAATTACTTAACGAGCAAAATGTCAATATAACAACTTATCATGTAAATTTCATAGGACAAAATGGTTTGCTTGTTTCTGTCACGCTTCATATTTCTTTATGCATTGATGATCAAGTCTCTGTCCTTCCATCTATAGATGGGACTGAGCTAGAATGACAAAAATTTCCCCTTTTATTCTAAGAAATACTCGTGGTTGAATGTCACTATTGATCAGAGCATTAAGTGCCTTTTGTTTTTTTTTTTTGTCCTCGAGATGCAAGTCCGTGGACTATGAATCTGAAGCACTCTACTATTTTAGGGATTTACTTTTGCATTAGATGCCAGTCTTGCATTTTCTCATCATTAATTATTTTTAGGAATCAATTTTTCTCTATATCAGGGTTATTGAATCCTGCTGCTTTTTCATTTTCTACCTCCTTATTGATTTATTCTTTTTTAAGTAGTCTTCATTTTCTTTTTTATGTTTTTATAGGAGCACTCTTGCATGTTTGAATTGTTTATTGTATGTAATTATTTATCTCATCATATTACTTTATGTGGTGGATTATCTTCCATTCGTATTTATATTTCATGCCAAATAATTGATGTTTGCAATCTTAATTGCTTATCCAAATTGCTGATGTAAGGGCAACCAACAGATTATGCAGATGGAGAGAAGGGAAAATATACTCTTATTAGAGATCCTGAGGATTTTCAAGGGATTTATGACAAGCCCCTTCCTTGCTTTGGCTGTGGGATAGGATGGTTTTCGTGAGTATTCTTCAAGCTACTGCTTCTCCTTCCCATCGCCATTTCTCCTGTTCTGATGGTTATCTTTTTGCTGCAGTTTTCTTTTGGGATTTGTGTTCCCATTGATGTGGTATTATGGCACATTTCTTTACTTTGGAAATTACTTCAGAAAGGATCCAAGGGAGCGTGCTGGCCTTGCTGCTGCTGCAATAGCTGTAAGCTCTTTCTCTCTCAAACTAAGTACTGTTGTTAGTGAAGGAACAAGAGTCTTGAGTCTGAACTTCTTCAGGATGATGATAATCAGATTCTTATCACTGTCTTTCTTTGTTACTGACTTGATATGTCAAATCATTTACTTTTTAGTCTTTTTGGGCACAAGAAACTGTACCATGTTGAGATTTTACACAAGTTTGATCCTTGTTTTAAATGCTATCCCCATTGCAGGCAATGGCGTTTTCTGTCGTGCTGATGGTCATTGTAGCTTATTGTTCTCTATTTTAGGCCTGGTAATCCGCTTCCAAGTTTGTCAGGCTTCACAGTTTCAAAACTAAACAGATTCAGTTGCAAGAAATTGAGTGCGGAATGTAGATAACATGTCAAGGCAGAAGAGCACAAAGAAAATGTTGATACGAGATTGTTCCTTCACAGTTGGGGATACCTTCACGGCTACACTAAAACATATACAAAACCTTAAAACTTTCTTTCCTTGTCTGCTGGCCATACATAAGGGCTCACGCGGAGAAGATTTTCAATTAGCATGAAATTTACTTGTGCATTTATGAATGTAATAGTGAAATTAGATGCATTGTTTATATGTAATGAATCTTATGATTCCTCGAAAGGAATAAAAGTTGTTACGTGATGATGCATGCTCATTTCCTTTAAAACGTTAAATGGATCACAATTCCTTTGCGCTTTGATGTTATACATGGAAAGCACATAACTTGCTAATTCTTTTGTCCGGAGCCTCAATGGGAGACCGATAATGTGACGAAGATAACAGAGAGACTGATTATGGTTGTTAAGATTGATAAAATAATGATGATAATTTATAGGTTAGAAGTGACTGAAGGGAATGCTATTGGATGATTATTTGAGACCATTAAACAGCTTGGATTTGTTTTCTTCTATAACAATTGAGAGCGGTATCGTTTAATCAATTTGATGCCCGAGACTAAAATCAGCTCCTAATTCAGTTAAAAACAGATCATTCACATCAAGAACAGAAGATTCATGAGAATATCTTCTCCTGGCGTTGGAATTAAAGGACAATTTAGTAAGCACGCCCATTTACCAACGAATCCTCAAGCAGTTCGTATTTTTTTTTCCCTCTAAAACACAACGGAAGTGTAAATATCAGCTATTCAGCTCACTTGCACACATGCACACAAGCTGAAGAATCTGTGATCGTAAACTTGTGAAAAAACAATGAAACTCTTCTATAAGATTTTTTTCCAAAAAGAATCATTCAGAAGCGATACAAGCCTGATGGTCCTATATGTCATATGAAAAGCTTTTGCAAGAACACTGCGCTAGCAAACAAAAGGAGGGAAAAATATAAATCATAGGGCAAGCATCAAGCCCCCTAAATTGGTAGTCCAGAGAGAATCCACGACTCAAAATGATTCTTGATCAAATTGACTAATGAAAAAATGGTGAAGGACTCCAAAGGAAAATCACTGTGATTGGCGCAGTTGTTGACCACTAGGAACTCTCTTCTACATGGCCCAAAAGCTCGACTTCAATCCTTTGCTACTAGATGGACATATTTGTCGTCAACTCTAAATCGGGAGCTCGAATTGATCTACAACAGCCCCAAAAATAGAATAATCAACAATCATGAGAAATGGGAGAGAGGGTAAGGAAGGGTGGCATAAACTAAAAATACTTTCATTTCTTATTTTTTATAAAGGCTGACCTTTTGTTCAAGCATATTACTGAGTTCCATTTCACATTCTGTTAAGCCAGATTCTTGGAGGGATTTCAGAACAAGCTTTTTCAGTTTCCTCATCTTCAGAACTCCATCATTCTGCATCATGCATCAAAAACCCAAATCTTAAATGTCAGCATGAGGATGATATTGGAGAGAGAAAAACATAAGCTAATTCAGTATTAGTCATGTTCATCCAAGCCACTAAATTTTACCTTGAAGGTAGCAACTTAACAGATGAGTGTGTCATAAATTTATATATTTGATCTTTATCAACATGGTGTGGCAAATTGAAATACAATCAAACTAGAAATGAAAGGAAAAATATGATCAAGGACACATACAGATTTCAAGGCTGATTTAATCAGCTTCTTCCACTTTATCTTCTTTTTATTGTCTTCTTTTTTAGGGCTAGAATCTACTTCCTTTTCTTCTTTAAGTGAATTGTGTTTTGCTCTCTTTGACCAGGTCTCAACATCTTCTGTTTTTCTTCTTTCAACCAGACTCTCACCATTGCACACTTCATTTGAAGCACCCTCCCCTTTCTTATTCCCAGTACCATCGTTCCCAGATGCATCAAGCTTTCTCTTCTTTTTCAAAGGCAACTTTCCATTCTCTATTTCAGTGTTGGTATCTGCACTGCCGACTTCTGGTGTATCCTGCAAGTTTTGCTCCTCAACATGTTTATTTTCAATCAATGCAGCCTTAGTAGGAGCATTTGAATCAAGAGCAGATTCTTCTGTTTGTTTAGGTTGTTCCTTGGCAGCTTGAAAAGCCCGGGCCTTTGCCCGGTGCTTCTTTCCATCAGCATGGAGAAGAAGAGTCTGCTTACTGGTTGCCTTGGTATTGCAGAGACTGTAATTACATAATGTTGCACAAAAGACGATGGCTTAGATGGAATCATAAGAATAGATATAACACCAAGCACTTAAGAGGGGCGCAATAAAACTAATCTTTGACTTCCTATGCATGTGTAACAGATATAGTTTAAACACCACTCATTAAAACAAAAAGTTACATAATTTTTCTAGCACTACTGAGTACTTGTCTTTAGATTTAGTTCCCCACTAAAAGTTGAACTAAATAATGCATGCAAACCCAGCCATGGATCCAGGCTTGCCTCCTATACTCAAACCAACCACCTACTTTCCAAAAGAATTCCTTTCAAAAAGTGCAGTAGTACTTCATTACTTTGTTTGGGTGAGAGTTTTAAGTTGGCATGAATCAATTCAGTTCCAGCTGAATCTGGAAATGTTGATCAGTTTTTGAGAACCAAGTATATGGACTTCTAAAGTTTGTGCAAACTGGGCTAGAAAAACTCAATCTCTCAATAGAGAGGAGAGAGAGAGTAATACCAGTAATACACGATATTTAAAAGTTGCAACCAGCTCTAATTCCTCCCCACCCCCCACCTAAAAAAATAGAAAAAACTGCAAGAATTAATTAACTTGATGTACAACACAGCTCTAATTGTTCAAAAGCATATGATTGACAAAACTCTTTCCAGGCAAAAGATATGAAGCTCTGACATCTTAATCCCATACATCGTTCAAACTTTCTTTCACTTGTTTTACTGCAAAATGTTTTACATAAGAAGAAATTCAATGTTTCTCTTTGATGTATGACAAATGAATGAATTTACCAATTTCTGCCATTTACTAAGAAAACTTAAATATATTTTAAGACCCAAATGCAAGTCCCACGTTATTATCCACTTTCAATTTTAAGAACTTGACTTGAGAGAAGGCAAACAATCAAATTTATAATCATTCTGGCAGAAGCCGTAAACTAAAGGATCAACAGAAAAGGGAGAACACATACATGTATACATAAAAACATCAGACAGGTAATAAACAAGAAGAGCATACCTACAAAACCATGGTGGGCGTTCAGATAAGCCAACATTGATATCAACGTCAGGTTTTTGCTTTGCGTCCTTGTTGGATTTAGGGGTTGCACCATTTGAAGCTTTCCCTTGACCCTTTGGACCATATTTCTCCTGAGAACAAACAAATTGGAATTCAGAGCTCCCATTAGAAATTCTTAGAAAAAAACAGAGTCAAATAAAATAAAATAACTTAAGCTTCTATTCTGATTTAATGTATTAAAGAAAGAAATGAGCATCGGCACCGCTTCGGTAATGCACTGAGTGTGGCCCTGAACGCTTTGCTGACCAAATGTCTCTCCGCAATCAATGCAAGATAGCTACACAATTTTAACATTCCAAACAAACAAAAACATATCAGAATTTACCAATAAAAAAGAAGAAAAAAAATAACAAGAAGATGAACGAGACCTTGGTTGCAGAACACATTCTGAAATGATTAGGTAACTTGGGTTTCTTCAAGTTCTCTCCACAATCTTCACACTGAAACCACACCATCTCTCTCTGTTCTTGATAAATTGAAGCCAAAGCGTGCAATCTCCTCTTGAGATGTAAGCTAGAGAAAGGGGTTTAAGACATTTGTTAGGGTTTAATGTCCGACTTCTCGAAGATTCGGGGCTGCATTTAACTCAATACGCACCGTTTCCATGTGTTGTAGTTGACGTCAAATCTTAATCCGAATCAGCAAAAATTACCACTATTCTATTGCAATTTGATCATTTTAAATCAACATTATCAATTTATTAAATTTAAATCATTAAAAAATTTAATTTTTTTATCAAATCTTATTTAAATTCGTTAATTGGATTGCTTGTAAATTTTTTTCTATTTTTATTTTTTTCACTATTAATTTAAAAAAATGCTAAAAGTGTTTTTTTTTTAATTTTAAAGAGAGATTTTTTTCACCCATTTCCTTGTAAAAAACGTTCATTAAATCTATCACTAAAATTTTTTTATTCTTCCTGTTTTCGCATTTTGAACATGTTTTTAAAAAAACTAAAAATAAAATAAAATTAGAAAAGTTTTTGTAAAAAAATAGTTTTCTAACTCTAACAATTTTAAATACATATTCTATATTTGAATCAATTGTGAGAAAAAAATTCTATAAAACATATAAAGATAAAAAAAATATTAAATAAATATAGCTATATTTAATATTTAATGATTGACAATTAAAAGAATAAATTTATTGGCATAATAAAAGAAAATTTTTAGTTAAAATTAATTATTTGATAATTTTAATTGATCAAATTCAATAAATAAATATTTTCACATATTAATTCGTTAGATTTTTCATAGTCAATCAAATTGTTATATATATATATATATATATATATATTTTAAAAAATAACTTTTATGTAATATCATTGTCCATTGAAACAATCAACTTCTATAATTAATAAAATAAAAATATTTTAAATAGAAAGAAACTCTATTGAAAAATAGAGAAAAAAAATTTAATATTTTTCTATAAAGAAATTGATAGAGAAAAAACTAATATTTGAGGGTTCAAATTTATTTTATTTTTATCTTTATATATTTTGTTGGCTCTTGATTGTCTAATTTGGAGATGAACTTTAAGCCTTACTTTCCATCCTTCTAATTGGGTTCCAACAGTCCAATGACCGTTTAAATGAGAAACTTGATTTTACTTATGGCTTTAAATTTTCTCACTTAAGACTCGATTAGAAAGATCCAATAATCAACACGAAAATCATGATAAAAAAGTGAACATATAATAGACTTTGCATACATAAATTTTCATAGGTAAGAATTGAATAGTAACATCATTACAATATTATATTAGGATGACTCGTAATATTTTTTTAATTGTATAATCATGTTCGTAAACTAGAACTTTTATGATCAGTTTACTAAGGTTTTTTTTTTTTTTTTTTTTTACCTTTCGAAAACTGAGTGCTTAAATATATTTATTTTTACGATCATCAAGAAGCTACTATGTGACAACCACCACCACTCTCTTTTTTACGACCACTTTCTATGATGGTGGTATCGCTTTTTTTAAAATATATTATTGTTATTGTTATTACTATACTAACATCACTACCGTCTCATCCTCCTCCTACTCCATCGTCACCTCTATCTGTTTTTACTACCATTATAGTTGATATAGTTATTTTTTAATTATTATTTTTATTCGTATTAAAAAAATTAAATTTTATTCTGATTTCTTATTATTATTATTATTATTTCAAATACAGTATGAGAATGCAAATGTCATTTTTATTTTTCAATTTTTCATTCTGATTTTTATATTTTTATTTCTGGTAATCAAATACCAAAAAATTCAATTTTTATACCTCACTCAAAAATAAATAGAAAAGGCCTTCGAGCCCATTTTGCCGACCTTGTCAGTTTTGGATTCCAAAGACCTACACAAATAAATGTGAAGAATTAATTTTTTAAATTAATTCAAAATTTACACTGACTTGATTTTAAAATAAGCTCGTAAATAAACTTAAAAAATAATTAGGGAAATAATGATTTACAAGAAATGAATTTATAAAATAGAAACAAGTTAATCTTTCTTCAAAAAGAATATTTTGAATGATTGTTATATTTATTTAAATATAATCAACTACTTATCTTTATATATATATATATATATATATATATATATATGTAAAAGTCACTTTTAGAATTCTTAATTTTCTTTAAGCTTCCTAAATCGTCTGACATGGAAAGGTAGCCATCCTTAATTTATGGTCCTTTACTTTGAGTTTTTGGTAAAACGACATGATTAATTGAATTTCGGTAAGGAATACTTACGTGAGAGAAAAGAACCAGTCGTCTCGGCGAACGGTAGCAACTGGGAAGGCTTAGAGAACAATTCGGGGCCAGTGGCCATCATGTCGCAGGCTGTGTTTTTCCGTAAAGAAATTTCTTCAAAGAAAGCAAGTCCTTAATTGAACTCGCAATGAACACAAATTCAATCTTAATTCCACATGTTATTAGAGCACATGCCAATCAGGGCACAAGCCAAAGCATGCAATGGGTGCTTAATTATTAATGGAAGTGCGTAGCATCAAAAGGAAAATGCAGAACTTTGTGGAGAAAGTAGGTCAATCCTTTAGAGTCATGGGGCCTTCCATATCGTATGCTTTTGCAGGAGGCCTAGCGCATGAGTGATATAGATAAGGGGGACATGAATAAGATAAGCGTTAAGCTTCAAATAACATCGTTACCAATGCACACAAACATAAATGGCAGTACTTTTGGTTCTGTATTGCCATGATTTTCAAGGGTTAGAAATTGTCAAGGTTGCATGTTTTGTTTTTTCAAAACATTTCTACATACGCACCAAAAGATGGTTGCCTGGATGGGTTGGCACTTGGCATGAAAGTCACAATAAGAATCTAAAACGATCATTGCTTGTTTATCACATCTGAAAGTGTAACACGCATTATCAAAAGTTGCTTATTTTTACTGTTTATCTGCACTCACCAAAACGAGTCTAGAAATGTTCAGGATAGTGCATTTTATTTTTCGTTTGATAAATTTAAATCTTGGGATATAATAGAACATTTCAATTAGGATGGTTCGTTGCAATGGTTCAGACCCAGACCTATTTAAGAGGTCTCATTGTCATACTCCAACATATTATAGTTGTGGTGAGGGTAACTTTTATGTACAACTAGCCATATACTGTTGGAGTATGACAATTCAAAATAAATATTCCAAATAGCTATGCACGTCTTTATATATATATATATATATATATAACTGATAAGTGTAGATTAAAGCTAGTAAAAATGTGGTAGAAAAAAACACAAACAAAGTTATAAAGATTAGAATCAGACAAGAAATTTTGTCTACTAACACTATGATCTTAGTTAGGCTCTTAGCTCAACATTTCCTACTTTGTTCACTCTAAAAAAACATACAGATCTCATCTAAAGAAACAAACAGATCTCAGCTTATTAACAAATGAAGTAATACTGTTGAAATTTTGACCTACAAAGCCTATTATATGAACTCTTGTGAATCCAACTAATAGTATTTGAAGAATCTGATTCAACAATCAAATAAACTCGTTGTTCTAGGAGATGATAAACAATCAACTCTAGAGTCTTTTTTATTGTAAAAGCTTCTATTTCATTGGAATCTCTAACACCGGTTGGACCTAAGAAAATACATAAAACGCCCTTCATGATCTCTAAAAACACCATCAATACCCCAAAGCACCCGATTTTTTCATTAACGAGCCCTCTACATTCGATTTTAAAAATTCAACACCTAACATAATCCAAACTTCAGCCACCCGATTTTGAATTTTGTTAGACCAATTATGAATATTATTCAAGCTACGAAGTAGATTATTCCTTGTGTATAGGAAATTATCATCCATAGCTTTTGCCCAATAAGAAACTTTATGAAAGAGAGAACAAATATTTCCAATCTGGATTCACATTGTTAAAAACTAGATTATTTTTTGCTAGCCATATGGTCCAAAACAAAGAGATAAAAACTAAATACAATACTTTCTTCTGTGATTTTCCAAAAAAGAAGAAATCTCATTGTTGAGAAAGATCATCTATATTGTAAGGAATGTTTCATAAACAACTCCACTAGTACTTAACTTTAGACCCATCATAAAAAATTAAGCCTTTAGCAATGGATTTTTTTTCGCTAAACATATATATTCCTTCATTATTTTCTTTTAGTGGTGTAATAGAGATTAAAACTAATCCATAAAAAAAACACTTGTCGCTAATAATTTTAGCGATAAAATTTATAATTCGTCACTAATCCGATGATGGACAAGTTGTCACTATAGTGAAATATATTTGTTGCTAATATGATAAAATTAGCGATAGACATGTTGTCACTATAATGACATACTTCGTCCCTAATCCATCTTCATTTGATTAGTAATCCATTGGTAATTGATGTAATTTAAATTTTTTTCATCATTAGTTGGTGGTTGATCCATCACTAATATAGGAAATCTAATTTTTTTTTAAATTTATTATCGATGGTTTGAAGTTTAATTATAATTTTTTAAATTCATTATTAGTAGTTTAATGTTTAATTGTAGTAGCAAACAACTAAAAATAAAATTATAACACGAAATATTATTATGTAAAATAAAAATAATATAAAATTAAATCAAATATATACTAGTGTTATGAAATAATGAATTTCCATCATCATATTCATCTACTTTTCATATCCTCACTACTCATGATTCTTAATATGATTCAATTCATCATTCAATATAAGAAATTGAAAGGGTGATGCAATAGATTATTCATATTTCATTCCAATTCTCTTCTCAAATTTGAAGCCTATAAATAGGCTTGATTATTCATTAGTTGATGTACAAGCATTTTGTAGAGATTGTGAGAATTGTTTAGAGTTGTTATCTCTTATATTCTCTTTATAGTGAAATCATTTCTTCATCATTTTTCTTTTTAATTCTCCTATTATTTCTATTTCTTTTATAACACGTTATCGACACAAAGCTCTAACTAATC